CCCCCAAACAATATTTGTAGTAACATTTATATAACGTGCATTCTTGGTCGATATCGTGGGGCTTGAATGAAAATGGTAAAATAGGGAAAACATGGAAGAAAGGGGGGGGGGGGGGAGACAGAGGGTCAAATTTTTTTTTTTCTTTACAGAGTCAAGAGTCTACGAGGAAATGACAAATCAAACAGTCTCGTCTTTAATTGGGTTTATTTATAAATCTTCGCATGCAATTAGTCTTATCTTGAATCACAGTTGGCAGAAAAGACTTCTCAACCTTTCATCTGTGACCTACTTTCAACTTCAACGATATTGAATTTGAAAGCCAGAAACGCAAAGCTTAGGCCGTGTTTATGTGAAGTCACCCAAACAGCGATTCGGGTAACTCACATTCCTCACATCTGGTCCACGTGCCATACATTCCTTTTAAAACGTGCCCGAGTTGCTGACACCTAAAATTTGGTATTGCATATGAATAAAGAAATATCACCCCGTAATCCATGACCAAGTGACATTGAAATCACATTGCATTCACACGCAAATCGCGATGTGGGAAACCCGATTCGAAACCACAGCCGTGTCTATACGGAATCACCCAAACCGCGATTCGGGTAACTCACATTCCTCACATCTGGTCCACGTGCCACACACACCTGTGAAACCGTGTCCGAACATAATGCGCTTGAGCTACATTTATTGCTGTTTGATGATAACACGCAAGGCGGCGTGTTATTAATGTCAGAGGTCAACGACCTGCTTGCTGATGCCCCCCTCCCAGCGTATCTCGGCCGAATGCCGACGTGGTCCCGCCAGAGGCGGTGAAGCTCGCCCTAGAACGGACACATTATTTGACCATTACTGCTCTTTAAGTTGCTGCCACGTAAAAGTTGGTATTGCATATAAAAAAAGAAATATCACCACGTAATCCATGACCAGGCGAAGTCACATTGAAATCACATTGCGTTCAGACGCAAATCGCGATGCGGGGAAACCGATTCGAAACCACCTCTAGAAGTGGCTTGGGATCGAGGCGCTTTCAATGTGATTTCGGAGCGTTCACATGGAGCCACTTGAAACCGGCTTCGGGGTAAACCACATGTAAACCGCCTTGGGTGGTTCCGTATAGATAGGGCCCACCTCTAGAAGTGGCTTGGGATCGAGGCGCTTTCAATGTGATTTGGAGCGTTCACTGATGGAGCCACTTGAAACCGGCTTCGGGGTAAACCACATGTAAAGCGCCTTGGGTGACTTCACATAAACACGGCCTTAGAAAGTACGTGTTGGCGATTTTGTCTTGCAGATGAGATTACTAGTATTCAGGGTTACCGTTGTGATATGTTGGCGTGGAACATGAAATTGCTGTCAATTTGCTTGTCTTTCAGACAGACACTTTTGGTGTATCATAACACCAGGCTACTCGCCGTCATGTTGTTTACTTAAGGACGTTAACAAACTATTACTATCGAGGTAACGTTACTAATAAGTCAACTAACGTTGGCGTTTGTTTATACTGCGTAAGGAGGGCATTGACCCCCGGGTTGTATTGGAGTGACGTACCTGTACGTTCGTAGCTGTAACTAGCGATTCCATGGCTGCATTGGTACGACGTTTAGACAGATAGTGGGGTCGTGTGGCGTAGCGGCACAGTGCGCGACTCGGAACTGAGTCCCGGGTTCGAGTCCTGACATGCCACCGATCTTGTGCCCTTAGGAAAGGCACTTTACACGACTTTCCTCACTTCGCTCAGGTGTAAATGAGTATTGTATTGTCCCCTGTGTTGGTGGCGGCATTAATATAAGTTAAAGAAACTTGAGTGTGCCGTCACCACGTTTGGTAATTACATGTTGGAATAAAAAAATCATATTGCGAAAATCTTTTCTTTGGAATCTTTTTCAGGGCCTAATCAATTTTTGTGTTCAGAGTTTGCAATTTTCGAAGTAAAGAAGGTCATCGACCTCCGCGTTGTATTGGAGTCATATCTGTACGTGCGCACCTGAAACTCGCGATCCCTTGGCTGCATTGGTATGACGTTTGGCATTTCGTCTGCTAGTATGCGTGAGATGACGCACGTTGCTTTTTTTATACCGTAACAGTTTCATTGGTCATATGATATTTCAGAAAACAACCATTTTTTTAATCAATTTCGTGCTATTGGGTGTTTTCCTCGTATATATTGATTGAGTGATTTAAAACACCTGCTCAGTCTTGGCGGACGGCATCGGTGTCATCACGATGCTATTTCGATGAAGAAATCTGCCTCATATCAACATTTACTATCATTAATTTTGTCATCATTTCAAGATACTTGAAGCGTAAGTTGTTCTTGTTTTATTGGCACAATACACCTTCGCTCACTCTGCAAAAAAAGTGTCACAACTTCACGGAGATTTCTAATGAACTCTTGTTCTTTGTTTTTCTTGGGGGGGGGGGTAAACTGCCGTTGTTTAAACTTGATGACAACTCCCTTAAGATTTAATTGTTACGGGTATAGGGGTTTAAATGTAAAAACTGTTGTGTATAAGAAAACCCCTATATCCTATACTCGACCAACCTGATGAAACTATTTTCGGATGTAATTGCTACGGTGTGAGGGCAGCGTAAAATGGCGACCTTTCGTGATTTTTTATTTTTTTTTCTTTCAGACTAATACAAACATGAAGTTCGGTGAAGTTGCGACCCTGTGTCTGTGCCTGTGCGTGACGTCATGTCTGACCTTTGACCTGACGATTCTCCACACCAATGACGTCCACGCTCGTGTCGAGCAGGCGACGGGCGGCGGGGGGTCATGCGGGGACACGGACGCTCTGGCAGGGAGGTGCTACGGCGGAGTCGCCAGGAGGCTCACGAAGGTACCCAATTTAAGTTCTTCTCAAAAGACCAATACGGTATATGGATCTTCTCAAGATAAATTTACTTAAGATTATACAACTAAGCAAGACAAGAACAAAAAAAGCAAGTAAAGAATGCAAATAGTCTAATAAACTGTATATGACATTTAACGGCAAAAGTTAAGTGCATTCCAGCAAGCTTTAGTCAGTACTTTGACCTTTCTTAAGGGTCTACGTCACGTGTGGGTGGAACGTCGGCAACCTAGACGGGGGCTGTTACGGACTGTAGGGCATTTGACCCTTTCTTTCCTTATTTTTCATTTTTCCATTATCTAGTTGACCACACCAGACCGTTACATATGCCCGTTCTGGGAAGAGAAACGTCAGGAAAAATAATTACCTTTTCTGTGGCTTAGCGTGGAATATAGATGCCATTTAATGTAAGTTGTGGTTATGATTTTTCTATCCAGATAAGAGAGATCCGGGAAACGGAGAGCAACGTTCTGCTGCTGGATGGAGGAGACCAGTTCCAGGGCACGCTTTGGTTCTACTTCTACTCGGGCCTCGTCACCGCACAGTTCATGAACAAAATGCAGTACGATGCAATGGTAAGTTTAAATTTAGACGGAAATATTGTTTTGGGTGGCGCAACTGTATGCTAGGTTTGTATGCTGTGGTTCTTCTTTCTATGTGCGGGACACAACACCAGCAACAGCTGCCTCTGCTCCGCGTGTATTGCAGTGTTGCAATTTCAATAACATGAAATCAAAATAAAAAACAGTCACTCGCCTTTTCTACTGCAGGCATTCGGAAACCACGAATTTGACAGAAAGGTAGAGGGTCTCATTCCCTTCCTGCGGGCGATTAACTTCACCATGGTGAGCTGCAACATCGACGCCACGCAGCAGCCGGAGATGCAGGTATCTGACCAAGCAACTTTCATTTATCGAGCGTGGGGGAAAAGAAGAAAATACCTGTATTCATATCACATCAACAGTTTTCACTTTTTGTTACTTCTGCACGTTTGTTTTCTCTTATTATGTTTGATTTACCTTTAATATGTACTTGTATTTATTTTGTGAGATCTTGGTTAAGTATGTGCAGATTTGTTTATTTGCATTTACGATCTGTTATGAGTTCACTTTGTTCTCCATTCTTGTATATAACCTACCTTTATTTGTGTTCATATTTTGTTTGGATTTTGTTATCTGTACCTTTGATTCTCTTTTGTTTATGTATAATTTATTGAATCGGTGTCGTATAAGCCCACACGGGCTGGGCGCGGGAAAGCGCACGACACGAAAATAAAGTCTCATTCATTCATTCATTCATTCATTCATTCATTCGTGCAGGCTCTGTTCCAGCCGTCTGTGGTGCTGGAGGTGGGAGGGGAGAGGGTGGGTGTGATCGGGTACACCACGCCCAACACTACCTTCCTCGTCAGCGCAGGACGTGAGTAAACACTCACACTCACTCACTCACTCACTCACTCACTCACTCACTCACTCACTCACTCACTCACTCACTCACTCACTCACTCACTCACTCACTTACTCACTCACTCACTCACTCACTCACTCACTCACTCACTCACTTACTCACTCACTCACTCACTCACTCACTTACTCACTCACTCACACACACACACACTCTCTCACTCACACACACACGCTCTCTCACTCACTAACTCATTCACTCACTCACTCACTCACTCACTCAGGGGCAGTCTTTCGATCGGGTACACCACGCCTAACACTACCTTCCTCGTCAGCGCAGGACGTGAGTAGTAATTCACTTGTTCACTCACTCATTTACTCACACTCACTCATTCACTCACTCACTTAATCATGGAGGCAGTCTTTCGATCGGGTACACCACACCCAACACTACCTTCCTCGTCAGCGCAGGATGTGAGTAATAACTCACTCACTCACTCATTCATTCAGTTGCTCACTCATTCACTCACTCTCTCACTATCTCATTTACTGTCATTCACTCACTCATTTACTCAATCAGTCACTCGCCCACTTAACCCCCCAACAAACACACAACACACTCACTCACTCACTGACTCGCTCATTCACTCACTTCTCACTCACACTTCACTCACTCACTCATTCACTCACTCATTTACTCTTCCACTCACTCCTCACTCACTCTCAGTTACTCACTCATCATTCACATTCGCTCACTCACTCACTCACTCACTCACTCACTCACTCACTCACTCACTCACTCACTCACTCACTCACTCACTCAGGAGATATGTCAGTTTTTTACAACATGGTATCGCTTTTGCAGTGATTACATTACATATTTTCTCCCTTGCCTTTAATTTGCCTCACAGTTAACCTGGTGTTCAGTGACGAAGTGTCTGCCATCAGCGCTGAAGTTCAGAATCTCCAGGCCCAGGGAGTGAACAAGTTCATAGCCCTGGGACACTCCGGCATCGAAGCGGACATCACCATCGCCAAACAGGTGCCGGGGCTGGACGTGGTGGTCGGCGGACACAGCAACACGTTCCTGTATAAAGGTATGTTTCAACTTGACTATTCTTATACGATATGGTATGATAATGATAACTCTACGATAACTTAGAAATACTTTCGGGATACAGCAACCAATTCAGACTACAACCTGGTGTCAGCCATCCATCGCAGGAGACCTCCGAAAAGCCTCGGTCACAACGTGCTTTTGTCCGTACATTTTTGGGAGGCCACGTCTGCTACGTTTTTCTGAAAACGTGGGGAAGGACTGGCATGAGCAGTATGTAATCGCACGTCACTCACACGGTTGCGCAATGTGTAAGAGTGTGGTCTGCACGCCACGTCTGGTCGTGAGCGGTCGCGTGCATCGTTCGTTGCACAAGTGGTAAGTGAGTTGGACGTGCTTACAACCTACGATTAAAAAAAAAATTACCAGGTCGTACTTGTAGTGTGCGTAGGTTGTGTGTGGTCTGCCTACACTAGCATGCCCATGTTATTACGTCAACCACCTAATCAAGTGTCTGTGACCAGGTACACCCCCTGAAGATGACCCTAAGTACGGAGAGTACCCGCTGACGATCCAGTCTGAGGTGGAGACCGGGCGCCAGGTTTGTTTGTTTGTTTGTTTGTTTATTGAGATCTCCATTAGTATGGTAAATTCAATCCTATTCTTCCTGGAATCCAGCAACAAAAACTAAAGTGACAATAATAACAATAATAATTACTTTTAGCAATAATGATTAAAAAAATCATACACAAAATTATGCTGAAATTTTGAAACAAAATCAACATAGAGAAATGAAAGTGCATTGGAGGCCAGAGGTCAAATGATATAAATAATATGTCTAAAAAAAGTAATAATAATGCACTTGTCCAATCAATGGAAAATTGAACTAACAAAACAGTTAACAAATACTGAGGAAGACCAGAGGGACTGGTCGAAAGCTCTATGTGAGAGAATTTTTTGTGTTGGAACACACGTTTTAACTCTAAACATGTAACTACCAACACAGATGAACTTTCATGATATGCCGTTTATTTACAAATACCAGGTGCTCGTGGTACAGGACTACTTCTTCGGGAAGTACCTGGGCTACTTACAGCTCACCTTTGACGACGCGGGAGAGGTGACGTCATTCGGAGGAAACCCGATTCTTCTGGATGCATCCGTGCCACAGGGTGAGCTGTGATTGGTTGTTTGGGTCTTCTTCATGTGTTTAAAGCCTGTCTTTAAACACATTAAAGCCTGGGCTACTTACTTGTCCTGTCTTTAAAGCTCTTTCTTTTTTTGGCTGTACGTAAAAAGAACCCATCTCTCTCCACCTCTTTTTCTCCCCCTCTCAAACACTCTCTCTCCCTCTCTCT